CTGAAGTAGCCTGCAGTGCTGCATTTAACCACTGCACCACCTCAGCTCAGAGGTGGTGCAGAGGACCCACCTCATATAGGCTTACAACCATCCCTTTAATGACCATCCCAAGTTACAATGGCACTGAAGAAAGTGACTTACAACCAGCCCTTATTATTATGACTGTCACAGCAGCCTCATTGATCATGTGATCAAAATTCAGGCACTTGGCAACTGGTAGGTATGTATGACAACCGCAATGTCCCAGGATCATCACATGATCCCCATTTGCGACCTTCCGAAAAGCAAAGTCAATGGGGGAGCCTGATTCACTTAACAGCCATGTGATTCACTTAACAACCATAGATATTCACTTCATAATTGCAGCAAAAATAAAGATGATAAAATTGGGTGCGATTCATTCACGTATCAACTGCCTCACTTAGCAAAGGATGTTCTGGTCCCAGTTGTGGTCGTAAGTCGAGGGCTACCCGTGTTTAACAGTGAGTGGAATGTTAAATTTGAAATAAGTTATTTCAAATGTAGTATTTAAAAAAAAAATCAAGTCCTATTCAGCATACTAATCCATTAAATCCTGATGTTTGGCTTTGCTTAATTTCTGTTTCAGAAACATGCACTATCAAGCATAATAAAACAACCACAGAGATTATCAGTGCCCAGTTTCAATCCTTACCAAAATTTGGAATATATTATTCAACCTGTTTTGCTTTCATCTAAAATGATGTCAGGACTGTTGAGACTTTGTTACAGGTTGTACTGTTCCCTAACACCCAGCATTGTCGGAAGAAGGGCAATCAAAACATTTTTATTTATTTTGCAATTACTGTGACACACGATAAAAAGGAGCAGGTACTTGTACTTGTGCTTGACGCCTCTTCACCCATCGTGGGTATAGGCGACTTCCATGGAAATTTGACGCCACTGTGGAAATTTGACGCCACTGTTGGATACGGCGATCCATGGAAGCTATTTCGGCTGGATATACCCAAGGGGACGCCAGTCCCAAGGGTCGACAGAGCCTGATTGGTGGGAACGGGGGGCACCACGTGAAGGCCGGGTTGTCGTTTGATAGTTGAGAGACTTTGCAATAAGCGTTGCAATGTATATTTTGCGCATCAACTATCCTTGCCTGCCCAAAAGGAGCAGGGTTTCAGTAAGATGGTCATGGTCAATAAATTGAACACCCCCCACTCCCCCGTTAGATATCCCAGTTTTTGCCTTTCTGGCCAAAAACAGGAGAATTTGAACATATCCTATCTAAGATGATTTAAGCAGAGAAATTATTTGTTTACAGGTAGTCCTCAATTTACAACAGTTCATTTAGTGACTAAAGGAACTGAAAAAGTGACTTATGACCATTTTTCACACTTACGACGGTTGCAGCATCCCCATGGTCACGTGATCAAATTTCAGACACTTGGCAACTGGTTCATATTTATGACGTTTTCGTTATCCCAGGGTCATGTGATCCCCTTTTGCGACCTTCCGACGAGCAAAGTCAATGGGGAAGCCAGATTCACTTAACAACCGTGTGACTATCTTAACAACAGCAGTGATTCCCTTAACAACTGTGGGAAGAAAAGTCACAAAGACAGGCAAAATTCACAAAAGATCTGTTTTGCTTAGCAACAGAAATTTTGGGCTCAATTGTAAGTTGTAAGTTGAGGACTATCTGTATTTGTATATTCATCTTGGCCTTTATTTTCCTGTTATCAATCCTGCTTTTTTAAAAACACACTTTTTTCTGCCTGTAAAGTTAGCAGGGTTAATTTTAGTGGCTTCACTTGAGCCTCTTCACTTGGTTTCCAGATTCTTTGAATACAGGCAGTCCTCAACTTACACAGTTCATTTGGTGATCGTTTGAAGTTACGATGGCACTGAAAAAAAGGCACATGACCATTCTCACACTTATGACCATTGCAGCAACTGACTCATATTTATGACGGTTGCAGTGTCCCAGAATCACGTGATCCCCCTTTTTCAGCCTTCTCATCAGCAAAGTCAGTTGGGGAAGCATGTTCAATTAATGACCGTGTTATTAACTCATCACCTGCAATGATTCGCTTAACAACTGTAGCAAGAAGTATCTTAAGATGGGGCAAAATGTCACTTAGCAAATGCTTCATTTAGCAACAGAAATGTTGGTGCCAGTTTTGGTTGTAAATTGAGGACTACATGTAGCCCCCATTTTGAAAGGTATTTTAGCGTGATCGTTTCTTTTTCCCCCCCAGAAAAATAATTGTAGCAGTTGTTTAATTTGTTGCTTTCGCTTTATTGCAAAGACATGGAAAAGACCTTGGTAGAAAATCCTCAATTAATATACTAATGGCATGTGTAGAAGAGTCACAGCGCAATGCCTTATCTCACAATGGCAAATGTCTTTCGAAGCAGATGAAAATCTAATGTGGAAAGCAATCGGGATATAATGACAGGTAGTCCTCGACTTACAGCTGTTTGTTTAGCGCTAAGTCATCACACATACAACCATCGCAGCCTCCTCACGATCCAAATGGTCCAAATTTGGCCACTGGGCAGCCGACCTGTATTTACAAAGCTTTGCAGCGTCACCTGATTGCCGTTTGCAAAGTCAATGGGAAAAGCTGGATTCGCTTAACAACCACACAGAATTTGCTTAACAATTGCGGCGAATCACTTAGCAACCGTTGCAAAAAAGGTTGTAAAATCAGGCGTGACTCACTTAATTTCCACCTAGCTCAGCAGAGGAAATTTGGATTGTGGGTCGTAAGTCGAGGATTACCTGAATGCCAAATCAACAATTGTGATATAGGTGCCCTGACTTTGTGAGCTGACGATTAGTGAAGCAGCCTTCTATTGTGATCCACAAATCACTTAAAGATGCTGATTATTTATTGTTTATTTCTTGCTTAGTGTGATCCTTCCTTCCCTCCCTCCCTCCCTCCTTCCTTCCTTCCCTCCCTTTCTCCCCGCTCTAATCCCCTCCCTTCCTGCTCCACTCTGTGCTTCCTTAACAAGTAGACTTGTACAACAAGAAAGAAAACTACAAATTTGGGGCCAGGACACAACATACTGAGCTAAGAAACAAGCACAAGTTTTCCAGTTTGAACCATTTTACATTCAACACAATTACAGGTAGTCCTCAACTTACGATCATTGGTTTAGTGACTGTTCAAAGTTGCAACAGCTCTGAAAAAAGTAACTTATGACTGTTTTCCACACGACCATTACACCATCTCCGTGGTCACAGGATCAAAATTTGGCCGCATGGCAACTGGTTCGTATTTATATGGTTGCATTGTCCTGAGGTGGAGTGATGCCCTTTTGCCTAACAAGCAAAACGGGGAAGCCAGATGTACTTAATAATCATGTCACTAACTTAAAAATTGCAATGGTTCTCTTAACAACTGTGGCAAAAACAGTCATAAAATGGAACAAAACTCCTTGCCTTAACAACTTAACACTTAGCATCTGTCTCGCTTAGCAACATAAATTTTGGGCCCAATTGTCGAAAATTGAGGACTACCTGTATTTTGAGTGTAAAACATCATTTATTTTGTACTTAAAATAAGCCATTTCCATCATTTTTGGGAAAGTTGGAGCTACAGAATGATGGGAAACCCCTTCAGATGCCAAATCTATGTGATCCATTTGCTTAGCAACCGTTCAAAGTTACAACGGCTCTGAAAAAAAGGGACTTATCATTCCTAGGGACCCTCACAGCATCCCAATTCAGATGGTCACAATTGGGACACTTGGCAACTGACTCATATTTATGATGGTTGCAGTCTCCTGGGGTCACGTGATCATCATTTGCGAACCTTCTGGCAAGCAAAGTCAACGGGGGAAGTCAGACAACCATGCGATTTGCTTAACAACCGTGGTGATTCACTTACCAACTGCAGCAAAAAAAGGTCATGAGATTGGATGCCATTCACTTAGCGTACACCTCACTTAATGACAGACATTCTGGTCCCAATTGCGGACATAAGTCGATGACTATCTGTCTTTATAACTCAAAATGTTTTCTTTTCAGTCCAACCCAGTTAAGTTTAACCCGTTTAAACCTTACTAAGCAGCTTTTAACCAGGTTTAAGACATTTAAGCAAATATTTGTCTCTGTTCAGCTTAAGTGATTTGTGGATTAAATTATTACACTTTGCTAAAATTGGTTGCAATCTCAGAAAAACAACCGTGGGATGGTGTTAATTTTTATTTTTCCTCTCAATTCTTTCCACTCGAGGTTTTTAAATTTCTTTTATTTGCATAACAAATTTAATGTGATTGTGAGCTTCTGCCTTTTTTTTAACCCCCTGCTGTTCATACTGTTTTCTTTGTAGTCACTGAACAAGAAACTAAAGTGCCTAAGAAAACCATCATCATGTAAGTCATATATATGCATATATATCTATATATATACATAAATTAGCATTTGTGTTGTGCTGTGCTGCCTCTCTGCATGTCTCCATAATCAACCTATACAGGAGGTCCTCGATTTACAACCCCTCCATTTAACCCTTCATTCTAAGTTACAACATCACTGAAAAAAGTGACTTACGACCATCCCTCGCAGCATCCCCATGGTCACGTGATCAAAATTGGCATATAGTTACGACCGTTGCAGCATCCCAGGTCACATGATCCTCACCTGCAACCTTCCGATAGGCCAAGTCAGTGAGGGGGAAGCTGGATTTCCTTAAGGACCGCTGGTTTTACTTAACAACTGCAGTGATTCACTTAACAGCCACGGCAAAAGAAAAATTACAGTTTACAACCACAGCAAAAGTAAAGGTCATAAAATTGGGCACAACTCACTGAGCAACCGCCTCACTTAGCAATCAAAGTGCCAGTCTCAATTGTGGTTGTAAGTCGAGGAGGACTACCTGTATTTATTGGCTGTGCAAAAGTGTTTCTTGCCATCCTATCAGGTCTAGTGGCATTTTGGGGAGTTAGGAAAAAACTTAGGCCAGGGGACAAAGCCATTCGAGGTGTGACTGCCTATTTCGCAACCTTAGATCCGGGTAAAGATCCGGGTGCAAATTGTGAGGTCTGAGCAGGTCAAAGTCAGGGAGGGACTATAGATATCCAGTGTGGCACAGCATTAATCCACGAGATGCCTTTGAACCAGCAATCTTGTTTTTCTTGTCTTTATCTCTACCCTCTATCAATCTTATCAAGGAATTGTTCCTGAAGGAGAAATTAACAATCTAATTGCCTTTTCTTCCCTGGCATACAACACTTTCACTGCATTAAATTGAACCGAGAGAAGAATCCCATTCTTTAAAAGAATTAAAAGTAATCTGAGCTCTTAATAATCTACTAACTGCTAGCCCATCTTCTTCCCTCCCTTCCTCCACTTTTTCTTTCTTTCCTTCCTTCCTTCCTTCCTTCCTTCCTTCCTTCCTTCCTTCCTTCCCTCCCTCCCTCCCTCCCTCCCTCCTTCCTTCCTTCCTTCCTTCCTTCCTTCCTTCCTATTTTTCCTTCCATCTTGTAGCTGGGAGTCAAAAGAGTCAAGGTGGGGTCTGAGAACATCTACCTCCACGGAAATTGTGAATGTTGGTTTCGTTTTTAATATGTTGTCTTTGTCT